CAAGAGGGGAATGCCAGTGTTGCATTGCCGTCGTCATTGCCGCTCCTGTTCTTTGTGTTGCTGGTCCGCCTGAGGGATATGCGACACACGGGCTCTTGACAGCCCGCTCTTCCTGCTTTGAATGGGAAACTCAAAGTTTCTCTATATTTGTGGCATCAGAAATAGGAGAGTGTGTTGCGACTTTACTCCCCCCAAACTGCCCCCGTGCGTATGACTGATTCGATGTGTTACCGAATTCCCGTAGACGAATGAATGAAAGGATGCTGGATTGAATGGCGGAGGAGTCATATCGAATCCCCTAGCAAACCGGCCGCAAAAACATTAAATTTTGCACATACGATTGCCTCATGTGGATAATCAGGGACGGGTAAAGTTTCCCCGAAGTGGAAAAGTTACAATATTTATAAAAGCAGAGTATTTTTACAGACGTGTAAGTTGTCTAAACGCTCATTTGAAGCGACAATGGAATACCACTCTTTCTCCATTTACTTATAAATCCCTCGCTTTTCAAAAATTGCATGCTGCCCTTTCAGCAATCCACTTTTCAAACTCATTCAAGTGATAATATTACTCGAAGGGGGACACGATTCGCGTGTGGAGGCAGCGCCCCCGGTATTAAGAGATTACCACAAGAGGGAACCGCTCTGACAGCTCCTGCTTGACCACTGTTGGCAACATAACTGCACTCACTTTATCAGTGCGTTCGATTACAGTTCGCACCTTCGTAAATGGGTCCATCACTCTCTCTTCAACTGTCATCGCCCTCCCCTCCGAGTGGCTCCTCTGCGCGTTTGACGTGGGGCGTCCGCAAGGGTCCGTCGGCGCCGCCGCCCCGAAATAGGCTCGCCGCGCCCCTGCCACGCCCGCCGCCGCCGCCGCCGCCGCCGCCGCCGCCGCAGGGCGGTCACCTTGCGCTGGCCGTTTGGGCGTTGTTTACGCGGTCGCGCCAGAACGCCCCGCGCGGAAGAGTAAGTGGCGATGCTCTTGTTTTCGACAAGGGGAGGGGGCTCGTCTTTTCTGGCTAACGCGTATATCCTCCGTCACCGGGACGAGACTTCGATTCCCGGACTGTCATTGTGGGCAAAGTGAGCTCTTAGTAGGTTTTTTCGGGGTTCTCCCGTTTCTCTTGCGTCTCATTCCACCATGTATCCATTATTATTTTTGTTATTTAGTATTATTAATATTTCGATCTTATAATGTATCATTCATGGGCCTCATTGACCTAACGACTTACGTCCCCCAAATTATATATCTTACGATAATTTATCACCACGCAAATGATCACAACAATCTTCGAATCCTAAGATTTTTCCCGTCTCATGGTTCCTTAAAAAAATTAGCGTGATTTCACTATTAAAAGTAAAACAAATGTGTGTTTGTGTTAATAAAAGAAATGCCTTCGCTTATTAGCTAACTTACCTTTCACCTAAATGAGCACGGTTCGAAACTCTGTCAATGATCTTGGAATTTACAGTTGAGCGTTCGTGGCAGTGGCAGGGTTTTTCCAGCGTCTGTTGCCAGCATTGTTTCATAACCGCACATGAAGTTTTACCCAGGAAAAGAAAAGACTCGCATATACAAAACTGAACTCATTTTAGTTTGGTGGAAGGTAATGTTGACATGTCTGTGGAATATTCTAGTACGGAGCTAGGGAATATAAGTGTTTTAATGTGCAGACTATTACTTATTAGTCAGCCCTCCGAAATCTTTCATTCCTGTGCCATCTTTAGTCTTTTTACTTCCCGTATTTTTCCCGTGGCGTGGGTTCTCTCACCAGATTGTGTGTTTTGCCACACCAGCAATTTGCCCCCAACGCGGTCCTCGCACCTCCCCGTTTCGCTCCACTTGGGGCTGCGAATAGCCCATTGCGAACGGTCGTGCCTGACCCGTAGCCAACACATCCCCTCTCTGTTGAGCGTTGAGAGCGAAAACCAGAGTACGAACTTCGGCTTCGTGTGTAGGCTGATCCACCAAAGCGAGTTTCGGCGCCCTGAATGCGAGAGTACAGCTCGTGGAAGTCGGAGAGGCGCGGGTTGAGCGTCGGTGACACCTTGCCGCGCTGCAAGGCGTCGACAGGGGCAGTGCAGGAAGACTGTAACGGTGCGTCTGAACCACTCCTGGCCGTTCCATCTCGGTCTACTTCGTGTGAATACTGCAGTCTTTCTGGGGACAATTTTTGTGTCGTCCAACGCCGGTTTCACAATGTTAATGATTATACTCACATTACACTTCTAAAGTTGTAAACATGGTATTTGATCAGTACGTGCTAATCCGATTGAAAAAATAAAACAGTACCCTGATAGACAATTTCTTGTTTAATATCAAACGTGACTTTTAAGAATGCAGGAAAAGTGAAAAACCCCTGTTTGTTCGGCAACCCGCCACACATTTGCGTGTGAATGGCTAGCTATCAAAAGGGGCTTTTGGAACATCCATTCGTACCCATTGAACCTTAATTGAAGTAACAGGACGTATTTTCGAGCGTATGTATGCGAATTTTTGTTACTTAATTCTCGAATTAATAAGTAACTCGGTGAAGTGGTATAATGAAATAAGTACTCATGTGGATTGTTCCAATCCAATAAACAATCAAATATCAATCTATAAACCCAGTGTCAATAGATTTGTATGTAGCCCTGTATCTCCGAAAATCGAGAAAAAATGTATATGTATGACACATCTATTAAATTAGTGAAAACTATTTATTATTCTTACTATTAAAATGAAAGAGGCCGGTTACCTTAGATTCGCGTCGCAGTTGGCGGTTCCGTCCTGTCGGGCCCTAATCGACTTGTAGCAAGCTGTTCCAGCCATCATTGCATGAAGAATCCGATTTTTCTGAAATGTAGAAATTCAATAGAGCTCTAAACATTTATCGGGGGCAGGGGCAATGCCTCCTTTGACCCTTTGTCCCCCCCCTCCCAAACGAGGCTGTCAGGGCGGGATAATCATTGTCAGGGGCCCTGGGCGTAGGTTATAGCCACCTTCCTCCTTAGTTATATTGAAATAATGAGCGTAGGTAACCACGATGAAACTAGAATCTTTCAATATACACAGTTAATAATCAAATAATGAAAACAGCGAGTATAATACAAAAAATACATTAAAATAACTATCGATCATGTTTTTGATATTACATTTTGTTACACAATTTCGTTATGTTTTTTAAGTTCGTGAAATTTATTATTTTTCTGTGCAGTTACTGAAATATTTTACAATTATTACCATTATTTTAGATATTCATTTATAATTAAAAAAACTATTACCACACGTAGCACATAATAGCAGCGCGTGTATTAAACTACTGCTAGTTGTTGTGAAATCGAATAACCCCGCCTTCTCCCGCCAGATCGTCGTCGTTGTAGGCGCTATAGTCGGATTTACACACAGTGACACGTGAAGGTCATGAGATGGACGGAGAGGGGGTCGCTGTCATCTAATAGGGAGCTTCGTTGCGACTTCAATTTTTGTTATCGTGCGCGCGATTGGCTGGCAATGGCCCCTCCCCCTCCAGCCCGTAAAGTGCCAGTGTGTGTAGCCGGGAGTATGGGCGTCGGCGCAGGTAAACACCGCCGTCTGCAGCGTCTGCTATCTTATCCGCGGCCTCCGCCCAATGCAGCTGCAGGCGCACGCGGGCGGCGCCTCTTCGCAAACAATACGGAACTCCCGCTTGTGAAGGACGTCGTAGATTTCTTGGTAACGCGTGGGTCGAACGAGCGTCCAAGTATTCACATTCATTTGAGAGTATCTACACGTCAGAAGGTATACAATCTTTAGGTCTCTTGATAATACTTCCGGTATACTGACAAGAACCCTCGTGAATTTGATTTTACAAACTAGAGATAGTCAATGACTTTTGAACTTTCAGTAGGAGACTTGCTTCATTATGTTAATTTTATATATGTATATATACTTGTTATATTTGATTATTATTTACATTTGCATTTGATTTTGACTTTTACTCCCGTTGAGTCCTCTTTGCTTTCACCTCCGTTTTTTCTGTACGAGTTAACGGTTTGGCCAGAGTTACTGACGGCTTCTGCCCGGTCTGTGTGTTGCAGAGGAGGACCACAACCACCACCACCATCACCACAACCACCACCACCCTCACCTGCCGCACCTGGCGCGGAACGGGGCCGCGCCCCGCAGCGCGCCCCCCGCCCCGCCGCCCCGCCGCCGCCGCCGCCGCTCCGCGCAGCACGCGGCGCAGCGCCGCCTTGGCGCAGCCTCAGCCGCAGCCCCCGCCGGCGTCGCCGCCCGCCCCGGCGCTGCAGGCGTCGCCCCCCCGCCCCCGCCCCCGCCCCGGCCAGCAGCAGCGCGCGGCCGCGACGGCGTCGGCCGTGGGCCCCGCCGCGCCGCGGCGCCTGCGGGCGCAGCAGCAGGCCGGCAGCGCTCCCGCACGGCGGCCACCGCCGCCTCCAAACGGGTACGCGCGCCACGGCGCGCGGCGGCGGGCGCGGGGGCGGGCGAGGGCGACGCGGCGTCCGCCCCCACGCCCGCCGCGCACGACGGCCCCAGGGACTTCCTCAAGCGCCCGTGAGTGCCACCGTCCGCGCTGCCACGTGATGCCTTGTGACGCGAATCCGTTACTCGTTTGGCGGAAAGAGTTAGGGATTTATAACATAATTTAAAAGTATTCTCGTGAAAAGCCCTGTCGCTCGCGCACCCGCAGGCGACACTCTAAGCCCAGCGGCAGCTCGCTGGGCACTGAGAACGAACGACAACACACAAGCGTTTCAATGCAGCAAAATTTCAAGGCCGGGCTGAAGACATTTTTACTGTACCTTCAATCCTAAAGTCTATTTTACATTTCCTACCAAATCAGTAATATAATTTACGATAATGTACTCTTTCAAAAATAGTACGCTGTTCTGTAAAACATGAAACAAATATCTCTATATCAGTAAATCACGACATTTTTTTCTCGAAATTAACATAAAGTAGCTTTGCGAAAAACTTAAAGCAAACGCTTCAAGGCATGTTTGATTCTCATCGCAACATAAATAAGATTCCATTAGCGCTGTAACTGTTAAAGAAGTGCACGTCCTTTGCGTTGGAGGATGCGCACTATTTGCTCTTTAGAGGAAGCGCGCGACTAAGACGTGACACGTTTCCATCATATGTGGGATGCCGTGCGCTGTTGGCGTGCGTCATTGTTTTCCTAAGAAAGCGATCGTCCGGAGCGCCAGCGCGGTGTCTGCTGCGATATGCGTTTGGTGCACGCGTTTGGTTGAAGCAAGAGAGGCATCACGTGGCCCAGAATGTCGGGTTCCCGCCTAAGTGCTGCAAAGATGTCGGGATGTGCAGGAATGAATCTGAATCACAGTATCTGCTGGTGAAGTGTTGTAAGCTTTGCAATAGTCTTCTAAACAAAAACGCCTTGACTTGACCAACATTTTATTGAACGATGAGCAGCTTTTGATTGCTCGAATACTTAGTACACTGGTAATTTGGCAGCTAGTCGACGCAGCTACTGCTAAGTTATCGAAAGCAACTCCTTATTTGAATGATAATATAAATGTTGGCCTAGACAATGTCGATTTGCATGAATATTAGCGCTGAAGTGAAAATCCATTCAAAAATACGTCCGCATTTTTTTCTTTCTTTTTTTCCCCGCAGACTTTCAATAATTGTAACAGAATGAAATGCGGGGTAGAGTGATGAAAAATAACATTTGTATGGTCATTATTGAATTATTAACTTCCCACAAGAAACCATGCTAAAATTAATATAAAATAAATCTGGTAATTAAACGTGGAAAAAGTGTTTTAAAATCATTAAATTTTTTATCTGACCCAGTCATACATTGTAGCATATGTATGTTACACGGGAGTAATTTTTGTTTTACTCGGGCCGTGAGTGTGGGATTGGGAAAATGGAACCGTCATCTCAGAGAAGGACGTGGAAGGGTGCGCACTGAAAGCGTGGCGGTGTGAACGTACTTCTGAATGGGCCCATAGAGCTGAAGCTCAGAGACTGCGCATAAGTGTCACTAACTCTTCACTGGTGTCCTTAGAAAATGTGTTATTCCTGCATTCCCGACAACTGACGAATTAGTCGGCTATTTTGATGCGTCTCTTTGGTCAAAGACATCTTTGCAGCCAAAAGCAATTTGGAGGGTGGAGGTGGGGGTGGGAGTGTGTGTTATTGTCCCTTCTATTATATACTACCAGTGTATGTGTGAAGTATTTTGCTTCCTTTTGTATTAATTTCCAGTACAAATGTTAATCTATCAGAAATGCCAAATACGAGGGAAATATTAAAGAATATTGTTATATATGGAAGAGTCATATCTGTATTGAAGCGGCATGACAATTTTTTTTTCTCCCGTTGATATATGGCTTTGACGTTTCAGATCTCTCATTTACTCGCATGTCTGTTGATTCCGATTCTCCCTCTGCCTGTTTGCATGCTCACCTGCTCGAAAAAAACTTACTTAATTTTGACGTAACACACTTGAAAGGCCTCATCAGTACAAAGAAGCCAAAGAGGAAGTGTTCAGTATCAATACATAACCTGTGATGCAACATCACACGGGCACTGTGGACTTAATGTTCACATCATTAGATTTACGGACCTATATCGTATTCAGATAAGCGTCTTCTTTAATTACATGATAATATTGCTGAATGTATTCTATAAAATCTGCAATGTGAGCATACATTGCAATAAAATAACGTATGTTGTTAACTTAATGATATTGTTCTTCAGATTCACCGCTCTTTTTAAATATGCATCTTGTACACTACAAATTTATAATGCCAATTCTTGAAATCTACAGTTAGTATCTGTGTTTTAAAGTATTGCAGGACAAAGTAATGATCAATGCTAAGAGGATGTTTTTATTCACAGTTCTCTTTGAAGTATTGTGCTTTTTTGCTGTCATGTTGATGAACTGAATTTTGAAGTTACAGGATTTGTGTGGTGCTGTAAATCTTTTAAAAAAGAGCATCTTAAAAGTTTAATGATGGGATACTTACAAGAAGTCTGTAAATTTGGGCGAGAAAAAAAGATGCTAGGTCGATCGAAGCGAAAAAAGGCTGGCCTGGTTCTTGCGGGACGGGACTGAGTTTCGTACTAAATAATTGTATTCCTTTGCAAGATATTTTTGTTTCGATTTTCGGTTACTTGTATGGTTGTCAGTGGAAAAAATTGTTTTTGATTGTATGCAAACTTTGCTAATATTAGAGTGTAAACGCTTGATTAGGCAGCGAATAAAACAGTGCGAGAAGGAGATACCGAAACTTCTTAATATATCAAAATTGGAGAAACGTGTAGAGAGAAAATTTAGGAAATAAGTGTTCTAGTCTGATTAATTTTTCTTCTTCTAACCTTCTTTCCATTATTATTATTATTATTATCATTATTGTTGTTGTTGTTTTTATCATGTATTTTAGAATCTTGACCAGAAACGCAGCCCTCTTTGCGCGGAAATTCGAACGTAGGCACAATAAGGCCGATGAGAGAAGCCATGAATAAAAACAGTCTATGTTTTCACACAGATTTGTCTCAAAGCGTGTAAATCATGTCTTAAAATTATCTCATTCTATAGTTTGATAGAAAGGCGTTGTGTTACCACTGAACATGACGTCGAGGATGTTGAATTTGTGAAGATGTGACACGACTCTTGCAGATATTAGCGTAGGTGTCAGGCATTGAGAGAGCATTTTTTCACGTGCCACGATCGCAAGTTGAGTTGTCAATCTCTGAGTAGTCAGTGTAAAGTATTGCACGTCTGTACTTTCAATCGCAATTAAGCCGTTCTGTCGGATAAGATTAGGGCCTTAGCCCTCTGTGGTGAACATTTCCGGAAGGGCATACACTTGCTGGTGGGCATCCTGTGCGTTTGACGGACAAGAAAACTTCAGGCGGCTGGAACGGAAAAAGTCATGCAGGCGGCCAATAGAATGGAGCGAATTCCAAACTGGGTGACAGGGTTGATGTGCACACAGGCAGATAGTTCCCGTGACAGAATACAATAAATAGACTAGTGGAGAGACCAGGAAACGAGGGCAGGGAGATGTGCCGAAAAATAACCGTGGGACAAGGAGAGTAGCAACGAGGGAGAGGCGGCGAGGCATCGACAGAGTGTTTGAGGAGGAGACTGGACTGCTGACCTCTAGCCAAGCGCAAGGAAAGGCGGCCCATGAGGAAGCGGAGGTGGTGGGCGGGAGGTCGGGGGCTGAGCGACAACCGGCCAACGATAGCATGCCGCGCTGCGAGCGGGCCGCAGTGGCCAGGGCGGAGGCGGCGAGAGGCCCGCCCTCTCCGTCTCTCTTCCCGCGGCGCAGCCAGGAAGTCGACGGCCGGGCGGTGCCCACGTGGCGCGGCGCGCGGCCAGAGGCGGGGGCGG